CCGCCTCCCCGCCCCGCCCAACCCACAGCTCCTTCCACCACCCCTCCAGCCTGACCGCCTCGCCCTCCACATCGCCCGCCAGCCCCTTCCGCGCATCCCTCACCCTCACATCCCCGCCGCTCTCGACCGCGTCTAGTAGTCCCAGGAGCTGCGAGAGCGACTCGTTGTACGCGTGCAGCGGTTTGTTGGGCGCGGAGAAGGCGAGGGGCGGGCCGGAGTAGTCTTTCTTCGCCTGTGATTGAGTTGAAGATGGCTGAGAGGAGGGGAGGGAGGGGGTGTAGGTGCTGTAGGGCAGGTACGACGTAGGCAGACGCGCGATGAGCTCCAGATGGTTCGACATCAGCCGCGCGGGCTGCAGCGTGTACTCCAGTATCTCGGGCACGGCAAAGTCCGACGACAGCTTGGCGAACTGGGCGCGCAGGTCGGAGAGCTGGCGGAGCGAGGGGTGTTCTTGTTGCGTTGTAGGTTGAGGTTGCTGTTGCTGGGTGGAAGGTTGGGGTTGGGAAGGAGGAGGGCCGGGAGGAGGCTGGTACGACCCCCTCCGCTCCCGATCCTGCAGCTCCTGCTCCCACGCCTGCCTCTCATCCTGCATCGGCTGCGGCATCGTCGGCATCGTCGGCATCTGCGGCATAGACGGAGCCGCGCCCATCCCACCCGCCGGCTGCGGCATACTCTGCGCCCCAGTGGAAGCCTGTGGCATACCCGGCGCGACCCTCCCATCCCTCGAAAACCACACAACCTTAACCCAGCTCTCCAGCCTGCTCGCCTCGCCCTCCACAGCGCCCGCCAGCGCCTTCCGCGCCTCGCGCACCCTCGGATCGCCCCAGCTGTTCACCGCGTCCAGCTTGCCCAAGACCCTCACGAACTCCTCAGACGTCGCGTGGATCGGCTTCATCTCGACGTTGAAGGAGAGGGGCGCGGCGCGGCCGAGGGAGGAGAGGACGTCGGACGAGAGCCGGATGAAGGAGGTGTAAGGGACGGGTGATGTGGGCACGAGGATCTCGGGGGCGTCGGGCGTAGGCGCGTACGACAGCGTGGCCGGCGGCACGAATTCCGCCACGAGTCCGTCGAATTTCCGGCGCAGGACGGACAGCTGGTGCAAAGAGGCGTTGCGCCGCCATGTGCGCTGCGAGAGGTAGGCGCGCCAGAAGCGCTGGATGCGCGTTGCGGCTTCGTGTTGCGTGCGCGCGCTCGGCGTTTGCCGGTGAGGGTAGGACGCGTAGGCTGATGCTGATGCTGAGGCGGATTGTGGATTTTGATGTTGTTGGGGCGTTGGGAAGGACGGGGCCGGGCCGGGCGCGTAGGATGGTTGAGGGAACGACGGGATATTAGCCTGCGGGAACCCCGGTACTGGTCCTGGGCCTGCGCTGTCCACGTCCATCTACGCCGCATTAGCACTATCCTCTATAATCACCAATTGGAATATACACATACCCTATTCCTCGACGACCCCATCGAATCATCCTCGTCGTCCGAGTCCCGCCCGAAATTATGAAACGTCTGCGGCATCCTCCCTCCTGCACCAGACGTCTGCCGCAAAAAATCTTGCTGAAACTGCTGCGCCTGCTGAGCCTGGCGCTGAGCGTCGGCTGTCGTCTGGCGGAGGAACTGCGCGTGCATGTTCTGTTGCTGCTGGTGCGCGCGGGCATAGGCGTCGTATTGCGCATGTTGGCGCGCCACCGCTTCGTGGTACGCCGCGTCGGCCTGAGCTTGTGGTTGGGGCGGAGGCTGGTAGTAGGTCGTGTTGTTCGTGCCGTAGCCGTACATCGTATTCAAGTCCGAGATCCAGATACGTGTAGATGATGAGTGTGGTTATAGATCAAGAGCTGACAAGAGAGATGAAAGTGTGGCGAGACGCAGACGAGGGTCCTAGGGAGCAGGCCTTATGAACGCGCGCGTCAGGTGATACAGATCTTCAGATCGCGAGCGCCAAGATCTCGAGAACAAAGGTGTCGGCCCGAATGGGGAGGCGATCAATGTGCGTGAAAGGGAACAAAGACGAAATGGGAATAACGCGATCCGCGCTGCGTGATGGCGGGAGTTGGCAAAAGAAAGAAGTGTTGTTGCTTTTGCGGCTTTGTGGTCTTTGTAGAGTAATTTGTTTTGCTCAATATATGTGTCACGAGAGAAAGACAGTATGATCAATAGCGTAAAAGTAATGTACACAACCAAAACACATCCAGTCCAGGCAATATTCAGAATCAAGCCCTAACCCTCTTCACCTTAGCCCCCTTCCCATTCTCCCTCCACACAGCCCTCCACCAAGCCTCCAGCCGCGCCGCCTCGCCCTCAACATCCTTCGCGAGATGCTTCCTCGCCTCGCGAACGGCAGAGTCGCCCCATGATGGGACAGCGTCTAACGCGTTGAGAAGGCGAAGGAGGGCTTCGTTCTGCGCGAGGATGGGGCGCGTTGAGGATGTATAGGCCAGTGGTGGGACCGTTGAGGTGTCGAGCTGAGGTTGAGGCTCAGAGGAGGTTGAGTCAACGGGCTGCGACTCTGCGCCTTCCTCATTCATCTCCGCATCCTCCTCCTTCGCCTCATCCACAGCCATCTCAGGCCTCACCCACCCCTTATACGGCAGACTATTTGTCTCGACCTCCGCAACCTCCTCCAACCCATCCTCGCTCCCCCTCGCATCCTTCAACGTATACTCCAGCACACTCGGCGCAGCGAACTTCTCCGTCAAATCCTCGAACTTCGCCCTCAGCGACTGGAGCTGGCGGAGCGCGGCGTGGCGCCGCCAGGTCTTCTGGATGAGTGCGGCGGCGGTGTGGGCTGCTTGAGTTGGCTCTATTTGGGGGATGGGTGCGGGTGGAGGTGTGGGTTGACGCGCAGGTGAGGGATGACGTTGTGTCGGGGCGGGTGCAGACTTGGGCGAAGGTGATTTAGGCGCAGACGAATGAACGCGAATGGGAATACTCGTCCCGCGTTGAGGCGAGGGCGACTTTCTCCTCGGAGCAGCCTTGGGCGCTGGCGCAGGTGTAGGGTCGACGTCCATCTACAATGCATTACGTCAGCGTCTGCAGTAGAAATAAAGACGGCGAATGGAATAAACATACCTCGTCGCCTCGAGCAGCCCGGTTATACAGCGCCTTCAACCGCGCCGCGTCGTCCAGTTCGCGCTGGCGCTTAAGCGCCGGCTCGGCATATCCAAAGTCATAGTCCTCGTCCTCCTCAGGATCATAGAACCCAAGGCCGTACGGGTTTCTCCTCGCGGCAGCGGCCCGGGCCCGGCGCTGGCGTTCTTGCTGCGCAAGCGCCTGGGCGTACGCCTCACGCTGTTCCTGAGCGCGCCGTGCGCGTTCTTGGGCTAGAGCCGCTTCGTAGGGGTTGATGTACGGGTTGGCGTAGTAGGACGGGCCCGAGGTGTAGGGGTTGTAGCCGTAGCCGTACATTGCTCGTCAAGCTAGTAGTAATAACGACAGTTCGGAAGAGCGAATCGGGAGAGTAGGTATACATTGGGAGAGAGGATTATAAAAGGCGACATGGTGAATGCGTGAAGGGAGCAGAAAGGTAACGAATGAGCTGGACGAGGTGGTTCGGGAGGGGAAGTCGGGAGAAGGATCGGGAGCGCGCGCGGAGGTTCGGACCGAGGTGCGGTCGGTGACGTCACGCTGCTATCTCGCGTTCGTCGAACCGGAAGTGTCGCGTCGTCGCGGCCTCCTTCACCCCGATGCGACTGGGTCGACTCTAGGCGAGCTGCTTCGTCGGAGAGTACACGGATGGCGTCCGAATGGCGTCCACGCTGAGCATAGTATAACGGAGTGTGACCAAAACGGTCGACTGTATCGAGCTGCGCGCCACTATCGAGAAGGGTGCGGATGCACTCCGCGTGTCCATTCTGGGCGGCAAGATGCAACACCGTCATGTCCACCATGTCGCCAATATTGCACGAGACAGAAGCGGGCACACCATCGGATGCGCGTCCTGCTAACAAGGTGCGGACGATCTCGGCACTTCCGTATTTTGCAGCAGTGCGTAATGCTTCAAGCCCGTTATTGTCTAAAGCATCGAGGGTGGCACCGTGGTCCATTAAACTGCCAGATATTCCAAAATCTCCGAATAATATCGTGGCGCAGTGAATGCCGGATAATTTCGTGTCGTAGTGGAACGAGGCTCTACAATATAGAGCAGCAGTAGCGGCGTCGCCCACTCTGGGGTGCTCTAAGAGCATACGGACCATATCTGATTGGCCTGACGACGCCGCACAATCCAATGGAGGGTAGTATCTCACAGTGTTGCCACGAACGAGCACATCACAATCAAGTAGGGTGCGAGTCATATCCTTGTCGCCCTTCTCGACGGCAGCATACAGCGCATCTCGGAGTTCCTCTTCAATGTTCGCTGTGGATACCGAGGCGTCGTCCAAGAGTCGACTTAGATGCTGGCGAAGGCCAAGTCGAACGGCAGTGGCGAGGCATCTGGTCGACCGTACTATGCCATTTTGTGTCCACCAGCGTTCAAACGCAGGAGAGTCCAAACTTAAGAAACTGAGCAAATGTACTCCAAGCGCGGCTTCGTCATCAGGCGAGATGTGACTTTGCCAGTGAGATGCAGCATAATGGCAGAATCTTGAAGGATAGAGCGTATACCAGTCGGGGTCGTCCGGAGGGCCGTTGAGCGCCGAAAGGCACGTCTTTGCGAGCGCAATCTCGGCGGATTTTATATCAAAGCTATACAGACGTGCAAGAGAAGCAGCTCTTTTCAGTTCAGCCGATAACAGATAGTCCCGAGCAGAAACATGTATGAATTGCACACGGATATGGCGGCGCAAGGCTCTGCAGTCGGGAACGATAGACCATGAAAATATGTAGTCCAGCTTGAAGGCTTCGCCCGCCCCTTCTACGACCTCGAGGAGAGGTGGACAAGTTGCACGTATGATGTCGGGGACGTGATCGCTGCTGCGATCAATCTGCTTGAGGGCAGTCGAGCCCGCGTCGGTGGCTCTGAACCCTGCTTGAGTATCGGAGGAATCAATCTTTGCAGAGAGTATGTCAACTATTTGATCCGCGGACAATTCCTCTCTCGCGACAGCGACACATTGGAAAACGAGACGAGCGCGCTCAATCGAGACCTTTGACGAGGTGAAACTGTTCAAGATACGCTCGTACGTGTCGCTGAGACTGAGAGGCAACTGACACAATGCTTGTTCAACGTCGCTTGCGGCGCAGTGTTTCAGGCTTTGAAGTTGAAGGTCCACCCACAAGAACCTTGACTGAGATGAGCGTGCGCATTGCCTTATTTGAGAGAGTTGTACGCACATGCCTTGCGACATCTCGCACAAGATTTTTTGGGCTCTGCGGCGGATGCAGTCGGGCCACAAGTATGCCTCTCGATCAGAGAGCCGACCCTCTATATGCCGACGCAGCTCTCGCAGATGTTCATCAGCTCCGTGTAGGCTGAGTGAATGGGTAGAGAGATGTGATAGGCGACGCCGGATCTCAGCCTCCGGGCGACATGTGATAAGCAGACGAAAGGCATCGTCCTCAAACGAACGGAGCATATCCAGAAACTCCGTCAGAGCTCTGTCCCGTCCACGCTCAGGGCATTCGTCAAGGGCATCGAGAATGACGAAAACAGGGCCGGATAGGCTTAGAAGTCGCGAGAGCATAGAGAGTAACTGCTCGTAATTCGGAGCGTCAGGGGAACGCAGCTCCTTGAGGTAGTCCAGGCAGACCTGAAAACGAGTTCCAATCTGGAAGACCAAAGAAGAGACCAAGGCACGACAATGCTGCTTCTTGACGTCGTTGAAATCGAAGTGGAAATATGCAAGTGGCAAAGAAGCGTCCTCCTTGAGTTTATCGACGACGGAGAAGCTACAGAGTCAGTTTAGTTGGGAAAGCGATATGAGAATCAGGTGCCGCACCTCAAAACACTTTTCCCGGCCCCAGCTTGCAGATCCACTTCAGCAACAGATGGCGACGAGGCGAATGGTTGAAACACACCATTGCTGTGCACCCAGTATATGCCGTTCTTGTGGTCTTTCCAGTCACTGAACGTGTTGTCAAAGAACCACGCGCAACTGCCTGCGTGTCTCTTCGCGTCGTAGTTCGTTGGTCTCGGGTTCGGCGGATCAAGCCATTGTTGAAGAGCGTCGATAACTATATCAGGCGTCTCAGCTCGAGTTGATGGCTAACACGCGACTGTTTGAACCTGCTTTATGGTGCACATAGTCCACCTTCGGTCCAACTAGAGCAGTGTAAGATTCTGTAGTGCTTAGGAAATGGGTGTGATATCACCTTTACGAGCGATAGCACTCATACCCGCGACGACTATCTGCTCCTCCTTGACTGCGAGCGATCTGAGACGATCAAGCACAGCCTTGACGTCTGGCTTGTCGGTGAGCACGAAGAGATAGTCCTCTGCGTGCAACCCGGTGAGCATAATAGTGGGAGAAGTACAATATCGTGTGACTTACTGGTACGCCGGAGGAAAACCTTCCCAACCCTCTTCAACGACTGGCCGCCGCGTGACGGTGTAGCCAGATCGCAATACTTCGTTGCGATGGCCAATGCAATGAAGACTTGGACAAGTGCATCAGTCAAGATGGCTTTCAGCCTTGGACGTGGGGTTTCCGGCGGCTCGAAATGGATAGAGAGACGCTCAAGATAAACCAGGATCTCTTGAAGGAGAGCGTCCACTGCATCGTATAACTCGCTGACACCCTTCGTGGCCTACATCTCGTCAGACAGCCCCCATGACGTGAGCGCACGCGCAATGTCACCTGTAGGAGTACACCAATGGCGCCGAATATGCCCTTGCTAACAGGTACAAGATCCTGCAGAGTTGTCAGCTGGCGGTGTATTTCATCATGGGTGGTCCAAGACGCACAGTTGCACCCTCAGTGCCTTTCTTCAAGACGAGGGTAAAGTTCACAATGGGTCGAAGGATGTCGAATCCCTTCCGTCCGACGGCGCGGAAGGCTTTGAAGGAGTCGTTCTGCTGCTCAAAGTACTCGATGGCATTCTCGGGAGTGAGATCACCCGAAGGAAGGGAGTCGAAGGAAAGATCACGTCCAGTCTCCTTTTTGTAGCGTTCGCGCGCAGTGGTCCATAACCTATCGATGTCGTTCGGGGCAACGTTCTCGTCAAGCTCAGCCAACGGCGAGTTCGACGGCGCAGGCATCCGTCAGGTGGATAAGATGATGGCGGTCGGGAAAGGGAAGCTTTCGGTCGATTACGAGGGGTCGCAAGGTCATGTATCGATGAGAGGCTGTCCGTGTGAGCGTCTTGTACCGGCGGCGTAGTATATAGGTTCCCAACGCACTGCACAGCCTGAGTCGTGCTTTATCTGCTTCCTTGCTCTGGTCAGGTCCTAGTCAACATATAGGGCTTCAATTCGAGCCAAGCGATACAAGGAGCTGGGAGGTTCACATCGACATGCCCAAGGGGCCCAAGCGAGGCTACTGCCGCGTCGCCGTAGGCGCCCCGGGCGCCCCGTGAAGAGCGCACGACCATACATAGGGTTCAATTTATGGTTACGGGTTTTATTGATCTCTCATCGGACTATGAGCCTACGGCGCCCATGATACAGGCGGTGAACTGAGCTGAGCGCCGAGCGCCGAGCATGCAGCATGGCTCATGGACGTCGAGTTTGAAAGCGAAAACGCGTCGGCGGGTCTTCCCACAAGTCCCGGTTTTGGGCCTCCTCGTGGCGTAAGATGCACACGAAATGGAATAGAGTGTATCTGCCACTCGTGTTTTCGTGCATTAGTTGATGAAACTCCACACCGTTCCTAGTGCAAGTCGAAGGCACCACAGTGCGAGATATAGGCGCCAGCACAGCCGTCCCGTCGCTTCGTGCTGTCTCGTTTGGATCACGTGTGGGCGCTTGTCCTCGCGTGCAGATGCTCGTGGCGAAAGTTGTACGCGAACGCCTACTGTCTCTTACGCCGCCCGACCAGCGTAACACAGCATACTCCACCCATGGCTTTCCGTGCTACCGCACGGGCTCTGATGAGGGCTGTAGGAGGAGGTTGGGCTCAGCACGAGAAGAAAACCCCGGCGTGGGGCTTGCGGAGCTGCGGGCAGTGCTTAAGCGCCTTGTGCACCACTCATGAAAGTCCACGCCTTCGCTGATGTACAAAGAAGCCCGATTTTAGGAGTGGCAGATACACTCTAATCAGAGTCTCGCGTTCTAGGCAGAAGCGAATACACTCCATACAATGACTGCTTTTATTTAACGCAACGTGGGAGAAATCATCTGTATACAACATGCGTAGGTCTCTGATCGTTGCCCGACTGCTAAAGCCCACTGCTGAATGTGGCTCGAAATCCCTCTGCATGCTACTGAACTGTGGGCACTGAGACGCAGCGCCGGCGTATTCCAATAGGCGGGTGTCCACAAGGAGGTCGAGGCTGACAGGCAGTCAGGCACTGCAACGCGACGGCAGTGCTCGCGACTGTATGTGTGACTTGCACGCAAGTGTACAACAGTACAAGGACAAGAGGTTAGCTCAGAGGATGTCCTCAAGCTATGTCGCAGCCGTCTCGTTCTCACTTTGAGTCGAGACGCGCATCAAGCCCTGACCCTCTTGACCTTCGCACTCCCTCCCTTCTCCCTCCAAACAGCCCTCCACCAAGCCTCCAATTTTGCCGCCTCGCCCTCAACATCCTTCGCCAGATGTTTCCTCGCCTCGCGGACGGTTGAGTCGCCCCATGACGGCACAGCGTCCAATGCGTTCAGAAGACGGAGGAGGGCCTCGTTCTGCGCGAGGATCAGGCGCGTTGAAGGGGTGTAGGCGAGTGGCGGGACGGTTGAAGTGTCGAGCTGAGGTTGCGGCTCGGACGTCGAGTCAACGGGCTGCGACTCTGCGCCTCCCTCCTTCATCTCCGCATCCTCCTCCTTGCCCTCATCCACAACAGGCGTCTGCGGCCTCACCCACCCCTTAAACTTCAACTCCCCAACCCCAACCTCCGCAACCTCCTCCAGCCCATCCTCGCTCCCCCTCGCGTCCTTCACCGTATACTCCAACACCCCCGGCGCATCAAACTTCCCCGTCAGCTCCTCGAACTTAGACCGTAAAGACTGGAGCTGGCGCAGCGCGGCGTGGCGCCGATATGTGCGTTGGATGAGGGACGCGGCGGTGTGGGCTGCTTGGGTTGGTTCGATTTGGGGGACGGGTGCGGGTGCGGGTGTTGGTTGATGTGGTTGAGGGGAGGGGTGGCGTCGTGCGGGTGCGGGTGCGGGTGTGGGAGAGGCCTTGGGCGCGGAGGTGTGCACGCGGATGGGAATGCTCGTCCCGCGCGCAGGCGAGGGCGACTTTCTCCTCGGTGCGGCCTTAGGTGCAGATGCGGGCGTAGAGTCGACGTCCATCTATACCAAGCCCACATTAGTGCCTGTTCTATGTCGTAACACATAATGAGAATAAACATACCTCGTCGCCTCTAGCAGCCCGATTATACAGCGCCTTCAACCGCGCCGCGTCGTCAAGTTCACGCTGGCGCTTGAGCGCCGGCTCAGCATATCCATATCCATAGTCGTACTCCTCGTCTTCCTCAGGATCGTAGAACCCTCCAAGTCCGAACCCGTACGGGTTTCTCCTGGCGGCGGCAGCACGCGCGCGCCGCTCACGTTCCTGCTGGGCCAGCGCCCGAGCGTACGTCTCGCGCTGTTCCTGAGCTCTACGCGCGCGTTCTTGTGCGAGCGCCGCTTCGTAGGGGTTTATGTACGGGTTGGAGTAGTAGGACGGCCCGGAGGTGTAGGGGTTGTAGCCGTAGCCGTACATGGTGTCGTCCGAAGTTATGTGTAGTGGTAGTTCGAGTGAATAGTTCGGATAATCATGTCGATATCCATGTGCAGGTTTATATGAGGTGACATTATCGAGACGTGAAGGGTGCGGAAAGGCAGGGAAGGCGCTAGACGTCCCGTTTGGGAAGAGGAATTCGGGAGAAGGATCGCGAAATCCCGGAGTTTAGGTGTGATGCACGTGAGCGTGTCACAGTGTAACGTCGCGCGACGCGCGGTCGTTGAACGTGCTGCCGCGCCTCCGCATTCCTGCGCTCGACGCCGCGCTGCCACACCGCGCGCCTCGTAGCGGCGCCGCGTTTTCGAGCGCTCAATTGTCTCACAGCGCTGACAGAGAAGGATAGGCAGCCTCGCCTGTACAGGTCGCACAACTGAACGCTACGTTGGGTGCGGGGTAGCTGCGTATGAGCATGGGCGCGCCGGGGGATTCAGAAAGCCATATTACGTCTGATATTTCTGCAAAAACCCCCTTTTTGGCAAACGAGCCCGATTGAATCGAGGGAAACTGAGATTGAATGAGATTTAACAGCGTTCCTTGCGCGAGATTACCGCGTCAGAATACTCCTCCACTGCTCGGATTGTAGGCCCAAGTCTTCACGTCTTCTGGGGCTTCCTCTGCCTCCCCAGACGTCATAGATGAAAGGAAGGCTCGATCTCGCGAGATAGAGCAATCCTTATTGAAAACTGCGAGAAGTGCGCTCTCGCGGCGCACCTGCGCTCTTCGCTGTGCCACTGCGCGCGCTACCCGCGTGCCTTCAGTCCTGCGAGAAGCCTATCTTCCCGTACTCCAAAGGTGCTCATCGAGCTCCTTCGCCGTCGAGAGCATCGTCCTGCACAGTAGCGGGCTAGTCTCGACGTTAGACGAGGGGCTCACGTGAGCCTAAGTTGCGGGCTCGTGAGCCAGGCCATCGGTTCCGTGCCTTATCTCCGGGTGCCTGAGCTGCGAACGTCGTGACGCGCGAAAGAAAAGGACATTGATTTCCAAGGTCAGCAGTCGCGGCAGCGCGGCGCGGCGCGGGGCCCAGTTCTTGTTCCCCCCAGTTCTCAAGCTCTCAAGTGTTCCCCCGCGACGCGCGCGTGAAGAGAGGAACATCCGAACAACGCGTTCACTACTCTCAGCCTTCGTCCTAAAGAGGGATGCTAAGAGAATCCTCAGAGCTACCAGCTCAGTTCGTACCCGCTTACCATGCTGTTGTTGACGTCCTTCTGAGCGCGCCCATGTTTGATGCAGATCTGGAAGTATCTACGCCACTATCGACCCTGCACATGGCATGTTCGTGTTTTAGGCTTTTTGGTAATATGCGGTCCACCATTCATTGAGTAGGCGGGGCTGTTCCACCGCCAGCATCTGGACTGCCGCCAATGGGGCGCTGAGATGATCGGGCCACTGCATCCGTCTCGAGTTTGTGCTCATCGACCAGTCTGCATAACCCGGCCGCCTGCCGTACGTGACGCGTACTGCGGTGTTTGCGCTGTCCGTAAAGCTGTAGTATTGCTACGAGATCCAACAACGATGAGCAGCGTACAGTATGGAGGCTCAGAATCCGTTATACGCGAGAATCGACGGCCGCAACAAGAATGTACATGCACAAGCGGTTATATGCGCAGGTCTCTAGCGAGTCCGAGTCCAGCCAGACGAGAGTCTCTAATCAGACAGTCCAGAGCAGTCGACGCAAGTGATGACGCGAGAGCAATAAACAGAATAAATACGATCACCAAGCGGAAAGGTCCAGAAGCCGAAATTCGCTAGATACAGCTCGGGCTGTGGGATGCACCCTCGGGCATATGTAAGCATGAAACCTACATACGATACACGGCCTGACGGGAAGAGCAAAGATTTTGGCGATGGGCCCGATTCCAAAATGTCTGTCGACTCTCTCTCGAGATTTGGCCTAGGGAGACGGAGAGAACAGTTTGGAAATGCACCCTTTCTGCGAAATGTTTGCAACAGCCCCGCAGCACCTCCCGTGGCAACCAAGCCTTCATGACGTCAGCACCTCATTCTGTGATATTCTATGATATTCTTCCCTTCGACCGGTCCGTTTCATTTTCCGTAGTACTTATGCATCAATCTTTATTTATTCGGTATGTACATACACGAGTACTATCTACGATATACTGGTAATCCCCAAGATGTGTCCAGCGATCCCAGAGCCGCAAGCGCGAGTGTATTTTGCTGTCGTCACAGGTCCTGCTCAAGAGATAGGCTGCACCTCCTAGCAGCACAAGAACAACGAGGAATCCTGACTAGACGAGTCATCGTCAATGGCCCGTACGTTGATCAAGGCCATACGAACACACCTTTCTTGAAGCCTGATGACATGGCGTTCTTGACCATCAGTGCGTGTAGCTAAGTGTGTATGCGGGGGTGAATGAGAGCCAACGCTGGGAAGAGACTTGTAAGTGACAGTGACGAAGGCGCTAGACGGACAGTCTCACCGTTTCGTTCGTGATAACGGCTCATGGATCCTTGACGCTACGAGACCCAGAGAGGCCGGTCAGGCGCGAGTGTGCTCATGGGGACGACAGGGGTGGAGAGGGAAGACCTGATGCATTGCTAAGACGCATTGCGAGGCAGGCGAGGATTCGGAGGGAGGCGAAGAAGGGAGAGTCGAGACGGTGATGGTGGTGGTCAAGAGGCAAGCGCGACTTCGTCGCTGGCGAAGCTGGCGTTGCCCAGGCTCTCATCATCTTGCTGACTCACCCGGACAGGGAGCCAGGCGCACCGAGCATGCGGCCACTGCCCAGCATGACGACCAGCTCAAGCTGCCATTGCGTCAAGACGTGTCGCAGGGAGTCAAACCGTCGGGGAAATATCATTGCACGAACACTTTGGTAGGAAGTACATAAAGATTTCGGTAACATCACCCGACATTGCTCGAACTGGGCGTTTCGCGAATTGTGGTCCATCATTTCGAGAAGTCTTTTCAACTGCGACCGTTCCGAACTTTCGATTTCTCGTTGTACCGCGACTTTCGGGAAAAGGCGTCCGGCCGTGTAGTATCAATCGATGGCCTAGTGTGGGAAGCCCGATGGATCGATGTGTACACCGTGTGCTCCTTGACTTGGCGTGTTGTTGAATTCGAGGTCAGTCACCATCTGCTCCGGGGCGTTGACCGGGCAGGGTGCAAACGTCGGGGGGTACCAGCTTTCCATCGACGTGCCACCATGGTACGCGTCGTATGTCTCGAAAATCCCGTAGCGGGCGTCACTGCCCGCCGGACATAGGGGAGTTGGATCGAAGCATGGGTCGGGGCATGAAGGCAAGCTGCCGTTTGCGAGATACCCGTTCCCAAAAGCGGAATGCGGTGCAAAGCTACCGGCCTCCTGATTGCCATCCACTGGCATGAGCGAGGTGTATGGCGTATAATCAATGAGCGATGCGACGTCCTGTGGAATCGGCGCGTAGGACAGCACCTCGGAAGAGCCGGGCAGAGACGTCGCGGAAGGGACGGTGAATGATGTTGATGCGAGTGGTAAGAGTTGGGCTTTAACATTGGTCCTATCGGGAGGGTTCTCGCTGCGTCGAGAGGCATAGCCGCAAGTAGTTGTCGCATCGGCACGCCAATTGCAAGCGATTGAGGCCTCTTCAAAGAGAGCGGAAGGAGCGGGGCCGCCTGAGTGTAGGGAGCGAAAAAAGTCCTGGTGAGCGAGCCCATCCTATGCGGTATATGAATCACGATTGTGATACATCGTCTGAAGGTAGTATATATGCGTACTCCGTGAACGCGTTCGACAGCGGTGATGACCTTGGAGCAAGGTGAAACGGAAGCCGGTGCAAGAAGTGGAGGATGGCTTGGGGCGTGATGGAAGGCGAAAGGTGGTCGCGGCGGAACTGGCGTCACGACGGGAGTCGCACGATGAGCTGCGTTGCTCCGGTGTTGCTCTGCACGGGCGACTACTCGAATAGACGGAGCAGTTCGTTGCTCGAACCCGTGTGACATTCCGACCACTGGCTTCTCAAAAGCTGATGGGGGAACCGGTTCTGATGCGACGAAGCCGGAGCCACTCCTGCCGTTACAAGGAGCGTTGGTATGCGATTCAGAGCGGCCCTCAATGTCCGCCATGCATTCGCGGAGATGGCGCCACAGTAACTCACGATCCTGGGCAAATAAGTTCTGCGTAACACTTTTGATACGCTGAAAGAAGAAAAAGTGTCAGCATGGGGAGCAGACGGTGGATCTGGTCGACTCTGTGATACGGACTTCCCAATGTAGCTCCTCGGCAATAACAAAGGAGTGATCCTCAACGGCTCCTCGACCTTGTATCGACGTGCGGTGTTCTTGAAACTTCACGGGTCCGTCGATTGGCCGAGTCTGCGCATCGTCATCACGAGATGCGATGTCTTTTGTGTTCATGACTCACAACACCGCCGCACCTACCGCGCCCTTCAGTACGTATTCGGCGCGGAGTAGTAACTGCAGAGACCGTACCTCGGGTCATACATCCATCGAAGGGAATCTCGGGAGCTCAATAAATGCATGGAATCGGCTTTACCAGGAGACGATAGAAATATTGCGATTAGAGACAACGCGGCTATCGTAGACTTTCGTAGTGGGCTGGAAACTGAGAGGGCACAAAGCTGTCTTGCTCAGAACGAGCTCACTTTGAAGCAACCATCGAGCAGCCGCAAGGTTACCGCGAGGAAGTCCCCTTTGGTCACGGAAGACGCAAGAGGCGAACCGTAGATGAAGCAAATCAGGAAGGCGTAGGCCACATTCAGACTACATGGCCTCTGAAGAGAGCCGAAGAGAGCCCTCACCGCCGCCAGTTTCCGCGGTCCACGGGCTGTCCACGGGCGGATCAAGGGCGGACCGGACTTCTTGTCCTAACAGGTCTCGCTACACCGCCGGCTGATCTCTTACTCAAATTGATGATGGAGCAGCACAATCAAATAAACCGTGGGATAGGCATCCGACCAACATCGAGTCCAACATTAGACGAACGTCGGGCTCGGGTCCAACATTGGACGAACATCGGGCGATAATTGAATATATTTATTCTTTGGGAACTATTATTTCGTCCCCAGTAAATCCGGCGCTTCCGGTAGCACAGCGGTCGTCCAGCCCTCCTCGTAGGGC